GTGTCCTAGTTTGTCTTCTGTTGATGTGATGAGTACCGTGACCAAAAGCATCTTGGGAAGGAATGGGTTGACTTTGGCTAGTAGGCCACCGCCCATCATGGAATGAAGTCAGGGCAGGAGATGAAGCAGAGATCTTGTAGGAATTTTGCTTACTGGGCTTTCTTATGTAACTCAGGCCCACATGTCTAGAGATGGTACTGCTCACAGTGGTTTAGATCCTCCTATATCAACTAACAAAATCAAGAAAATGCTCTCACTACATGCCCATATGCCCACATGCCAATTTGGTGGAGGCACCACCTCAGCTGAGGTTCACTCTTCTCTGGTGTGTCTAGTTGAGAAGCGAATTTACCAATGGCACTATGAATGCCTGACTACTGAGTCTGTTCCCTTAACCAATGTAAAAAGGCCAGATGCATTCCCGTTTCCATGAGTAACCCCTCATCCACACTCTGAGGGGACCCACCCTCACTCATGATCCTGGAACCATCCCTAGTCAACTCATTGCTTTACCAAACTGAATTTGGATAGAATCGATCCATTGCTTTGTCATCACCTTCTCTATCTGAGGTGACACAGACACACAAATACACAGACATATAGATAGACAAACAGACAGACAGACAGACAGACACACACACACACACACACACACACAGACAGACACAGACATATAGATACAAACACAGATACATAGTCACAGAAACCCAGACACATGCAGACACAGATACACACTGACATGCAGACACACACAGACACATAAACACAGAAAAACAGACACAGACACACAGAACCACACAGATACAGACAAATAGATATACAGAAACACACATACACACCACAGAGGGACATAGACACACACAGGTACTGACATAGACACACAGACACAAATACAGACACAGACACAACAGATAAAGAGTCTCCAGGAAAAGGTCACAGAGCTCTACAGGACCCATGGCTCCTCCTACTAGAAGTATGGGTTTGGTAAAGAACTGAGTTCACCAGGATGTTTATCTGTTAACACCTGGGAATGCCAAAGGGTTGGCTGCTAAGGCAGAACTTTCTGCTCTAATTCCAGTTGGGACATTCTTCTAAGTCTCTGATATTTAAGTCTCTCCTATATGTTGGGGCTTTAATATATATGCACTTTTATTTAAGAAATAGTTCTAGTAAATAACCCTGTACTTATGCTCATGCAAACGACCAGAAATGAACTCAGCAGGTCACTGACAAGAGGTATCAGTGGGAGAAGACAAGTTGGGAGAGGAAAGAGGGATATAAAGGGCAATGGGAGTGGTGTAAAGGACTCAAACTATGTCCACATGTGAATAAACAACACCACCAAAGAACAAAAAGAGAAAGAAAGGAAAGAAGGAAGGAAGGCCCTTTCAACCATTAGAGTGAAAGATTTAAATAAAGGCCTGCTATTCTCTATGTTCCAGGAGGGATTGGGGTATTTACCACATTCCTGCACTTGAAGGAACCTCTGCTCGAATAAATGAGGTATGAAAGAAATTCCAAGCAGCCTTCAATGCCATGTACCAAGAAACCTCATTATTAGAGGTGAAAATGAAGGTTTACTTTCTATTAACCCATGCTTTGACAAGTATCATCAATCAAATGATGAATGTCAACATAGTATTTTGGACAAATGACCTCATGTCTGTAATATTAATTAAGAAAAATGGTCTGACTTTCTCGTTCATTCATGAAATTGTCACAAAGTGTCTATTTTCTGGACCCCCTTGTGCTTAAATACCAGAAACAGCAGAATAAACAACCAACGTGCCTGTGACCCCCCGCTCTTTCAGAGATGATGGAACTTTGTTCTTTCTTTGTTACTAGGCCTATTTTTGAGAAGTTACCCCTGGATGAAGGAAGGAGAAGTTGGTATCAAGAACAAGTGGAAAATGCTTGCAAATGCATCCTGGGTCCATTTATCTTCACTGCTGTAGAGCTACTGCCCTCTTTCCCAAGCTCAGTTCAGGGAGGCTGATGCTGGTGCAGCTCTGTGTTTACCCAGTGCCTGTCTAATGAGAAAACGGCCAGCTGGTTTTGTTCTTGCTGCTAATATTTGGATCTCTTGCTATTCTTTGCCTGTAAAGACTTTGAAGGCTGAGTCAGAGGGATCTTCACAACACATCTAGATAGGCATTCCCAGCCTTTGGCCATGGCTTTCAGAAACTTCATATGAGCATCATAAAAATGGATGGGCTGGTCTCTGGGACCTGCTCTTGGTTCTGGACGTGATTATGAGTGACTTTAGCCATCTAGCTCTCTAGAGCTTTGCCTACAGAATGAAGAAGCTATGACTTGGTTTTCGTAGGGAACAGCATAGTTTCTAGTGCTTGATGGATTTGAGGTAATGTTAGCTGATACAGCAAATACATCTTAGCACCACTGAAATGTTTCAGGGCCAGACGGAAGCCAAGATGGATCTATCTGTGAAACTTGTCCTAGCTCAACCAATGAATTCTAGGTTCCATGAGAGATCCTGCTTCAAAAAATGTGCAAAGCAATCGAGGAAGACACCCAATGTCAATTTCTGACCTATGCATACCTTCATGTATACCCACATGAACATGTACATACATGCCCTGCCCCACCCCCACAGGTTTCTTTTCCTGTCATTGTCAAGAAAGGTGACTTAGGCCAGGCGAAATTTCATATCCATCCAGGATCCAGGCTCCTCCTGTGTTGTGGCTCTGCCCTCTTTAATATTGTCATGATGTTCTAAAATTCTCTAGACTAGGACAGGCTGGTGACTGCACCACCTGACGATGATTCGAGCATCTGAGCTGAGTAGTGAGTGGTGGAGCCACTGGGGCTCCTGGGAGGTTAGATGAGACAGGGTTAGACCTATCCTAAGCCCATTTCACCAGCATCTCATTGATTGACAGTTGGCCACGTGGGCACAGGGAAGGGTAAGGCCATCTAGCGAATGTAGACCAGATGTGTGCTGAAGTTGGCAAGACACAAGGCTGACTCCATGTCCATCTAGGACTTAGATTCTAGGTGGATATTAAAAACATCTATTTTACAAGACAGCCTCTCACCCCTATTCTCTGCAAAGAGGTGTTTAAAATTATATTTAAAATTATATTCTTTTGCCCTTGCTAGAGGAAACACTTCCAGAGGGTGCTATAATTAACCACTGGGGAGATGACAGCAGCCCTTAAGGGGAGGTGTGTCCTCATGTCCCAGCTCATGTCTATGGTCTCAGGATCCTTGCAGTTGGTGTCATCTTTCAAGACTACTCCAGCTGAGAAGGCAAATTATACAGTACTTGTTGCCATGGCCCAGGGCGTGGAAGAGAATGGAAGGGTGTGTAAAGGTGCCGAAATTGCTAAAAAGTAAACATAAAATAAGATTTGATAGAGACTTTTTTTATTTTAAAATTCTGCATCTGAAAACACAGTATGGCAGAAAGCGTCTATGTACACCTGTGGTGTTTTTGGTATAATACAGTATTTAATAATCCACTGTTTTCTGCAAAACAAAAGGTTGCTTTGTTGGACAGAAACAAATTCCCCTAGACAGAAATACAGCTAAGGCACAATTTTGTTGTTGTTTTCTGCAAAATCAAAAGACAGGAAAGAGGCAGATATGGGTGGTAACACAGTTGTCTGTGAGAACTGGACTCTACCTGGATGACAAGTATTCAGGTGATTAGAACTTTGATTATTGGTCAATTTCAGATAGTTTAATATCTCTTAAAATACTCCTTTAAATAAATAGCAAAATATCTACATCTTTCAGTGTGTGCCATGTGAACTCTCTCTTATTTTTTAAACTTTTATTTACAGATTCTCTTTTTTTTAAAATCAATACATTACAAAATATTTCTGTACAGTTTTATGCATATTATGATCTATAACAAAATAGTTATTTTTAAAAACTATATCACCACATGTCTTTGAAAACAAAGAAGGAGGCAGTAATAACTTATCTCCAGGCCTCTAAAACAAACAAGACAAATGCTACAGATGACATGAGTCTCTCTCTGTTTTTTCTTTAAAAGTAAAGATCGATGGATGAAGACAATTATGCTCAATACCAGCGAACTTCCTATGAAAACCCTGGGGTTGTCTTTGGCTTCCATCAGCACTGGAGTGATGGAAGGGGGTTTGAGGTGGAGTCTGAAGGACAGAGTGGACCATCCCTTCAAGAACATGACCCACTGGGAATACTGAATGCTGTCACTTTCTAGGCAAGAAAGATGAAGCGATACACTGAGAAACACTCCTGATTCTTCCTTAAATGAAGTACCTAAAGTCACTGGGTCTTGAGGGAAGGGGAGACTGGAAAGCTGTAGTGAACATCTGCTGGTGGTGCCAGTCACTGCCACAACAACACAGAGAGTGCTTCAGAACTGCACAAGCAGCCAAGACTTCATTTTGCCCATAGGAAAAAAATATGAGAACATTTTTTCTTAAAGATGACATTTAAGTCATTCCTAGCGCATCTGCAGACTACAGATTGGCAGTCCCTTTGCTCAGGAGGCCGCCACACACCCAGGCTTCAAGATGTTCTCTCTTCTGTGATGGTAGGGGAAATTAGAGGGGGAGGATGTCAGCTTTCCAAAAATAATTTTAAGGCCACATTTCAAAAAGGAGAAACCTAAGGCTTTTTGGAGGGTTGGGGATGAAAGTGGGAGGTAGGAGAAAAATGCAGAAAGGAGAAGACGGCACTGGGAGTGGGGGAGGCAAGATGGGGTGCCTGTTTCCTGGTGATGTCTGCAGGCCGAAGCTGTGAGAATACTCCTAGCCAAGTGAGAGGAGGAGAGAGGCCGCTTTCTCCCTGTGTGGGGCTTGGCAAGAACAGAACCAAAGACAACAGGAGGGATAGACACAGGTGGTGGGTGACAGCCCTCCATGGTCTTAAGAGGGTCCTTGTTCATAAAGTTAGAAAAAAATACACACACACACACACACACACACACACACACACACACGTAAGTGAAAGGAGAAGAAAGAGAGGGAGTCAGACTGAGGGAGAGGGAGGGAAGGAGAAGGAATAGGCAAGGAGAGAGAGAGAGAAAGAGAGAGAGAGAGAGAGAGAGAGAGAGAGAGAGAGAGAGAGAGAGAGAGAGATTTGCATAGATTGTACATTCAGCTCCAGCATGGTTAACCACCTTCATTCCGCCCCATCCCTAGGTAAACTTCTCAGCAGACATTGAGGTAGTGCCTGGGGTTGACCCTTGGGCAAAATAAGATAACTGAGGCAGAAGCAAAGACTACTCAAGCCAGCACAGCCCCATGTGGTTTCTGAAGAACGTTCCAGCACAGTGGCAGTATGGTAACTCATGCAGACTCTGGAGTGGGTCCTAGTGCTCCCCAGCCTCATCTTATGGATGGCACCATTGCTGTCTTGGCTTGGTTTGATGGAATGCCAGAAGGTGAAGACCTGGGAAGATTAGAACCTCTTTGTGTCTGAGGTAGGACCCCAGACCCCTGCTCTCATTCTTTTCTCTTCAGCACAGACCAGGGTAGCAGATGAGCCAGCCCTCCTGTAGAAGACAGGTTTTCTCCGAAGAGAACTACTAAGCAGAAGCCTCAAGTCTTACACAGTTTAATGTGAGCTGTTCTCTGCACTTTTAACTCTGGCTTTCCCCCACTCCTTATCCCTAAATTCTTTCCCTCATTTCAAACCACCTTTCCAGAAAGAGGGCTTTGCCTGATCACAACTATGAAACTACTTTTCTGTCCTATCTTTAAAAAAAATAAATAAAATTAAAGAGTAGCCAATATTGAATAACTAGATTTCCTATTAAACAAAACAAACAAAAAGAAAACAACAAACAAACAAATAAACAAAAATCAACAAGGAGCTGGATATTTGGCTTCCCTCATTAGCTGAAAGACTCCACTGCAATGAGTTTTGCTTTTTTTCTTGCTGTGGTAAGCTGGGAGCTGCGCTACAACTTTCTTACCAGAGGAGTCACGTGCCTGCCAGTAAGACCACACTCCCCATCACTCTCTTTTGTCTTTCACCTGTGCTTTTACCCATCAATGTTCGTGTCCAGAACCTCCATAGGCTTTTATGGCCCCTGCAGTAGTTTCTCTGGTCTGGGAAGCCTTCTTTGCATGCTCAAGCTAACCAGGTTGACGTGTTTCCAGCCTACTCTCAATGCTATCAGGAACTGCTGATCTGAACCCTCATGAACTTGGTAGTAAACGATTTCTTCTCTGTACTCTATACTTTGTGACCATTGATTGCTCGTCTCTGTTATGCAATGTCTTGGGAGAGAGGTCACAATTTCAATCAACATCCTCCTATCTATCTGAAAACTAGACAACCAGAAGGGCATTTATGCTCTGCAAACACCCAGGCTACATCCAAAGTCGCAACAAATCCCTAAGGAGTGTATGTACATGTGTGTGTGTGCGTGCGTGCGTGCGTGTGTGTGTGTGTATGAGTGCTTGTGTGTGTGTATATTTGTGTGGCTGTGTTTATACCCTCTAAACTTAATTTCAGTTTAAAAAGTTAAGCCAAAAATGAGAAACGAAACCAGGAGGCCTCTGATCTCCACCAGAAAAGCCCAGAACAGAAAAAGAAGTGCATTGTTAAAGCAAAGGGGCATTGGGAGTTGCTCCCTTCCCTCTCAGAGACTTACAGCTTTCTGCACAGCCTGGGAAGTTGGCTTTGGGAGGGGTAGTTACCAAAAGGCACGGAGAGGTGCCATCTAAAATACTTGTCCCCACAAGGAATACCCTGCAGACTTTAATGCTCCTGGAGATGATGGTTCTGTTTTCAAGTCTCGGTCAGCCACCTCCCAAGGCTGTTGTTTCACCAATGGCCTCTAACAAATACATGATTTTCAGGCAGGAAAACACCAAGAAATACAGAGTTCTGCCATTTTCCATAGGAAAACATCTTTTCTTAAATTATGGTGAACTTGTTTTAAATACTCCTTTTTGTTTGTTTGTTTGTTTTTACTAAAAGAAAAAATATTCTCTAGGTCCAAAAACAGAGGAGACAAATATCCTCAAATTAGTTGGGGTGAATAAAGAGGGAGCAGAGTGTCCCCAGAGTAAGGAGGCTCTGCCATTCCCAAGTGTATTCCAGTATGAAAAAATGTCATTGAGTGTCACTGGGTTTAGACAGAGCCTGTCTTGGAGTCTGTGGCTCCCAGGGACCTTCCAGGACAGAATATACAAATCTTTAGAACAAGAGGGGTCAAGGGGGAACTCAAAGAAGTTCCATAGTCCCAGAGACACTTTGACTGAGGCAAAGGCTCGAGCCATTGAGAAAATGGGGCTCATGGTTCCCGAAGGTTTGTAAAAGCAGTGTAAATCCTGTGGTTGTTAGAGGAAGCCACCTGATGGCTTCACCACCAGCAAAGACAGTAGCTACCTCCTGAGCTCTCCTGGTTGGGTCTGACCCCATCCCTCCTCCTATGATCAATCACTCTTGGAAGGAGCCTGTCTCCCTCTGCTAGTGATAGCTCGTGCTCATGGTTAAACTGGTCACAAGAAGCCTGATGCGGGGGCAACTGGGTGGATTTATAGTTCTACAATCAGCACACTTCTTCCTCACCCCCCAAGCCATTAGCTCATCACATCCTCGTCCACTCGTCAGCGGTCAGGGTAAGGAGGGAACTCAGACATTTCAACACTTTTGAATTTAGAGGAATAGGTGAGACGAGCATCTTGTGTAAGCAAAACAGGATGCTCCAGCCATCCAAATGGGTCTACTTCCTGAGAGTAGGGTCACTGGATGAAACTGTGTAGGATGTAGGGTGGACACTGAGAGAGAGAGAGAGAGAGAGAGAGAGAGAGAGAATAGGAGAGAGAGAGAGAGAGAGAGAATAGGAGAGAGAGAGAGAGAATAGGAGAGAGAGAGAGAGAATAGGAGAGAGAGAGAATAAGAGAGAAAGGCAGGCTGACCAGGGAAAGGGAGGGCAGGGGGAGCCTTTTGTGAATAAAGGCAATTTCAGTTAGTAAGATAACATAATTGACAAGCTGCAAAAACAGCACCTACTAATTAGTCATTGACTAAAACATATAAATAATAAATATCAAGGGTCCTTTCTCTATGCCCGCCATGTTAGATGGGGAAGGGGCTGTGCAGTAGATGCATCATCAAGGTGGACTTCAGTACCTTATCTGTGCTGGGAGAGACACAAGAATGGGTGAAAATTTTCCTAGAGAACTTTGTCATTTGGTGGACTCCAGGAGGAACGGGGTGCTCTTCCTCAGTGCCCCTCAAATACACATGGCAAGAAGACCCTTGGGTTTCTGGTAACTCAAGCAATATGAATAACACTATTTGTTGAACCACTGTTGAAACTCAACCTTGTGGTGTGGTCACACTGAGCCTGTTGGAACCCTAGGCAAGGAAGGATATGAAATTAAGGACGCAATCTGAAATGTTTGCTCCTGCGTGGGAGAAGTCTGATCCATGCAGTTTGGTCACAGCCAACAGCACCAAGTGCACAGTTCACAAAGGTTTGGGGTACCTGACCTTAGAACATAAGGGGTGCTACTATGCAGCCATCCAGGTCAGAAGCTTGGGTCCACATAATCCCCTTTGAGACTCAGAGCCCCCGTTCTGCACGGCTTCCACTTTCAAGTACCAAAGAGGCCACAGTAGCTGTCTGCCAGCCCAGGGGCACATAGGAGAATTGAAGCTCAGGCTCTATACACTTTACCCTGTTCCTGCTACTATTTGTGACAGCCTTGGAAGAGGCTAATCTGGACAGATGGCAAGTTGGCAATCACATGTCTGGGGACCTTGGCTGCTTCACATCAAAAGATTTTCCTGAACCTCTGGTTTTCAGAGAAAACAGCTCACTGAGTGGCAACAGGAACCTTGGAATTCTCCCATGTCTCCGCCTCCCTAGGAAGGCCAGGAGCAGGGCTTCGTTTAGCATGGGCACAAGGTTTCCCAGCCACAGAAATGAAGAGATAAATGGAAGGGCTGGGATGGATCCCACCCTTGGTCAGGGCAGTGCTTGTCAAACTGGCTTAAACAGAGCCCTTGGGTTCAGAAGAGGTACCTTAGAGATGCCCTTGGCAAAGGACCACCTGGTGGGCTGAGTTTCGAGAAGGAACCTCACACAACCTCAGCTTCAACCAGAGCAGCCTGGATTTCATCCTGGTCTTGCACTTCCACCTCTGACTATGCCGAGCTAACAAAGTTCTGCCGCTCAAAATAAAAGTTTAAAACTCACTTGTAGGGGTGCAGGCCACCGGAGGGGAAGAACAGGAGCCTGAAGAACTGAGTAACAACTGGTAGAGGGAGACCACTGTGGCCCTGGGACTGAGTCACCTATCCTAGAGGCTAGCTTCATAAACACAGGCTGACTTCTCTCTGGCCTCCAAACCCTCTCTCTCCATTGTCCTACAGTCAGCAGAGGTCCTTGTACAGAAGGAATTCCCCCTTCCCCCATATAAGATCAGAGGTCAGGGTTGAGGCTGCATCTGTCCCATGTGGCCAGTGCTACCTGAGCCGGCCATCAGGCTTGACTGCACCCAGCTCTGACTTGGGATCAGGGCTGAAGGAACTCCAGGCTGTTTGGCTGCAGGTCTGCATGACTGGGCAGGCAGTGGGGCCCGTGGCACAGACGTCCATAGCAGTCCAAGTCCCACCCACCAGCGAGTCCAGCCAGGCTTCTAGTGCTGTCCCAGTGAAGGCTGCATTCTTCCGGGCCTGCTCTACTTGGGCAGGATTGATGTGCAGGCTGAGGACTGGGTTCAGGCTCTGGAAACTCTGCTCCATGTAGGCACTGCGAGGTGGCCCATTGTGCAGCTTCAAAGCCTCCTCTGAAAGCCAAAGGGAACAGTGATGCGTTTAGAAGAGTCACCAGCCAGGTGTCTACTTACTGTGAACCAGAGCAGCAGTGCACACTGGGCACCAGCTCACTGAATCCACCTGACAGTCTCGTGTGTGCCGGATGTGGCACATTTACTTACTGACACAGCCTTGTGGATCATGTTCCGTGGTCCAGACATTTATTGATTTAACAAGACATTCTTTAAAGATTTATATATTATTCTTATTTATGTGTTCTTTCTCTCCTGCTCTCTCTCTCTCCTCTCTCTCTCTCTCTCTCTCTCTCTCTCTCTCTCTCTCTCTCTCTC